TGTGACATTCCTCAGGCACCCCTGACTGCCATAAACGAGAAACAAATCGTTAACTTGCAGAGATCACAATCCTACAAGACAGGAGTCTCCCTTGGTTTACAAATGTCCTAGAGATCTACAAAGAAGTGACCTTATCAATAGCACAATTTCCAGAGGCAGATAACTCAGTTCCTCAAGCCCTAAATAAAGTTAAATTTCTTCTAAACCCAAATCTCACTAGCAAAGATGCTTGATAGCAGAAATGTGCGTGGCTTACCAAAAGGCAACATTGATCAAGCCGCAAGGCCTCCAGTATCCCGGCACCTTGTAGGCCCTCTTTAGCATATGAAAGCTCCATTGAAACCTCCCTTCCCCTCTCCTTCCCCCAACCGCAGGGTACAGAACCTGCCATCCCTCACAACCTGGGGCAGCTGCTCTTCCTGCCCATGGGTCCTGTCCCCGTGCTTTAATAAACCATCATTTTGCACCAAAGATGTCTCAAGAATTCTTTCTTGGTCATCGGCTCCGGACCTCAGCCCACCAAACCTCACCTAGGTTCTAGAACTTCATCAGTAGCTATTTGAATTAGCCTATCACCTTAGTCAGGATGGGTGCTTTCCTTTCATCATTCCTAATACATTATTCCTTCTAAGCACTAAAACCAAACATTAAGTATTTAGTCCATGAAGGGTGATGTAAGCCCCACACAGTATAAACCCACAATCTGGGGTTGTCTGTCATTCCATTGTGATGCTTCACTTGATGCACTCACTTGTTTCATTATCGCCATGGCTGAATTACACGGTGAGGGTAAGTCATGTGCCCAGCTTGCTCACTGCAGAAGCAGAGCCTAGCACGGAACCTGGCCTAGGAGATGTGTTACTGAAGACTTACTAGAACAAGGAAGAGATGAATGAATGGGAAAAAATAAACCCAGCATTCTTTGTGAAAGTGTTGCTGCAAGGAGATCCCCAACTCAAGGCTCCTTGATGAAGTTCTAGAACCTAGGTGAGGTTCGGTGGGGTGAGGTCCGGAGCCGATGACCAAGAAAGAATTCTTGAGACATCTTTGGTACAAAATGGTGGTTTATTAAAGCACGTGGACAGGACCCATGGGCAGGAAGAGCTGCTGCCCTGAGGATGTGTGGAGCGGTCTATTATATACTTGTAAATAGGGGAGGGGATTAGGGATGATGTAAGTCTAAGAACTTTTGCCTTAGGAATTTTGGAAGCAAGGTTTCTAGGACCTTGAGGGTCTCTAGGAAATTTGGAAGCAAGGTTTCTAGGACCTTGAGGGGCTAGCTATTGTCTGGGGAAAAGTTTATTCATTACCAGTAATAAAACCTTCTCGTGAGACCCTTTAGATGTATGTTGTTGGGTCCATGGTCAAAGGAGCGAGACTGATAAAAAGCGAAGGTCAAGCAAAGCTTTATTTCATGCCAAGCATCGAGAATCAAACTAACTGTCAAACAGACTGGTCGGGGCCACCCCTTACAGAGAGGGCAACCTCTCTCTGTTTCACAGGCTAACTTTTATAGAGCAAAGGCCATGTGGTTGGGCCTGGCCACACACAGGTGGCCAGTGAAATTGTAACACACAGAGAAAGCTGCACAGTCATGCTAGGTGACCAACTGAATTACAATTTACCCTAGTAGACATTTGAACCAGCCTATCCACCTTGGTCAGAGTTGGCGCCCAAAAGGTGCCCAAAGGGGGGGGGGCACACTCCTTGGTAACTGGGGAGACAGTATGCGTCCCCCCACTGATCGGATATCTTCACCTGGCCTGACCCACCCTTGTATTTGGGCTTTGTTACCTGGGACTGGTTTCCCGGACTCGTTTTTAAGTAAGTTCCCCTGGGGGGGGGCAGAGTCCGTTTAAGTTTTACAACAAAATGGCAGTTCCACCGGGGTGGGCCGCTCCGGCTGAATAGGCGTTTACAGTTCCCTCACTAATTAATAAGTAAAGGTCTGACCTATCTTATTTTATATTCGTTCATGAGTCATGTTCTTAACTTGTGAAAAGCAGACTTTTGATGTAGTTTTTGGAGTGTGTGGTTGGGGTCCAGAGCTGATGGCTAAGAAAGAATTCTTAAGAGGTCTTTGGTGCAAAAAAGGTGATTTTATTAAAGCACAGGGACAGGACCCTTGGGCAGAAAGAGCTGCCACCGGGATAGTGAAGGGCAACTGATTATATACTTTGGGGTTGGGAAAAGTAAAGCTAAGGAAAGTTCCAGAAGGATTTCATATGCTGAAGAAGACTCAGAGCATCCAGAAAGTCTTGCATTGTCAAGCTAAGGTAGAGCTTCCCTCAAGTAAAGCATTCACATTAAGACAGTTGGGAGTTTGCTGGAAGAACATTATACTGCGCCCGCCTCCTCAAGTATTTGTCAGGCAGCATGTTAGAAGGTATTTAATTTTATCTACATTTCCTTCTGCCTTTGTGTCCTACATCGCTTTCACATGCCTTTCACCCTAAGTCTAGCTTAGGGTGAATACTAAGCAGATAGGGGTGGTACTCCTGCTTACATAAGGGGCACAAGTCATAGGGAAATAACCCAGGCTCAAGCCTTCAGGAACTGAACTTCTGGCAAGAAACCTGGAAAATAAACAAAAGACAGCGTTGAGTGCCCTCTAGGGAGCTTCCCTCTGAGCCTGCAGTCAGCAGGGGCCCTTCTTGGCCTTACATTGCGCCCGGCTCCTGTATTCTGTTCTAATCACCTCTTTTTTCTCTTTCAAGATTTTATTTATTTATTTGACAGAGAGAGAAGGTGAGCGAGCACAGGCAGGGGAAGCAGCAGAGGGAAAGGGAGAAGCAGGCTCCCCAGTGAGCAGGGAACCCAACTCGGGGCTCCATCCCAGAACTCCAGGATCATGACCTGAGCTGAAGGCAGATAGTTAACTATAATCATCTCGTTGGAGAGTCTGACTAGGCTTACCAGATTCTGTGCTTCTCGAGGTGTAAATGTGGCTGATTCATTCTTGCATCGCCAGTACCTAGCACTCAGTAACCTCCCAAGAAATGTTTACAGTGGATGAAGGTTAAGTGTGAAGGGAATTTGTGATCTTTCCCTCCAGCTGGCCAGCTTGAGCCAAGCATCTCCCTTTCACACTCTCAGAATACCCTCTTCCTTTTATGTTCCTATGTATACTGCCGCTCCCTGTGGCCCCCCTCCCGCCACCCACCCCGGGGGGGTGGGTATGTGTACCCTGACAGCTGTTCCAGGTTCAGCTGACCACCCCATCCCAGCTACAGTGGGCCACCCTCAGCCTGGGAGGCAACTGCAGGATGGGAGAACAGGGGCTGGTTCAAAGCTTTGCTAGCTTCATGTGTCCTGACACTGTTGTTGCTGGTTAGCATCAAAGCTAAAATACAGAATCATTTTCTTGGCAGTGAACCCCATCTCATCCTGAAGTAAGAAGAAGGGGAATGTTTCTGCCCACTGGTCATCAAATCCTAGGCTCCTCATTGTGGCACACTGATTTCAGGTATGAACTACTGTGGAAGGAGTATATTTATTTGTGTGTGTGTGTGTGTGTGTGAATATATACATAATCTAAGTGATTACGGTTATTTGTATTTTCTTATTTTAAATGTAGTCACATTGTTTTGCTTTCTTCTTTTTTAATGATGCCTTCTACTTATGGCAGTTGAATGCAGTTTTTTATGTATGGCAATAAGGTCCTTCATTTTTTATCTAAATAAGAGTCGATTTAAAGAAAAAAAAGTGATACAGGTATATGCTTATGACAAAAATTATGAAGCACGATTCAAATAAGTCAGATTAATTTTTAGTGGAATAGGGATTGTTGACGAAGATGTGGCTTGGCCTGAGTGAAGCCGGGAGTCAGGCAGTGTGCGCCACACCTGGACACTGTCTGCAAAATGATACAGAAGGCAGGTTTTCTTTAGGAGAGATCAGACTTTTCCTCACATTGTTAATCTGTGACCCACACATGATCACAGCCTTGACAAACTACAGCTATACAGCTTTTTGCCGAGTCCATTACTCACCAAGGAATCTTCAGATTCCTCGTTTACTAATAATCCTAATTACAGGTCCCTTAACTGAAGTAGGGCAGTGTTCTGGACAGGAGATTTGCGAGGTCTGGTTATAGGAATACAGGCCTCACTTAAGATGGATAAACAGACATCTGGCTTCCAAATTAATCTCATGAACTTTATCAGCACGAACCTGTCTCATTTTACTTTGACCCAAGTTTTTCAACTTAAAACAAGGACAACAGGGGTGCCTGGGTGGCTCAGTGGGTTAAGCCTCTGCCTTCGGCTCAGGTCATGATCTCAGCGTCCTGGGATCCAGCCCCTCATCGGGCTCTCTGCTCAGTGGGGAGCCTGCTTCCCTCTCTCTCTGCCTGCCTCTCTGCCTACTTGTGATCTGTCAAATAAATAAATAAAATCTTTAAAAAAAAAAAGGACAACAGACATTGGATGTGAAATGTGTCTTTCCTGGTTGACTGCCCCTCTCTCTGAGGGCAGGGCCTGGGAGTCCTGTTTTGGTGATTTCCCTAGGGGCCTAGCACAGGGCCGGCCACAGGTAGACAGGATGGAGAGAGGAAACAAAAGCTATTTCCCCATAGGAGGGGAGGGGCAGTAGCATATATACAGTGTGACACACACACAGAGGGGACAACATCCCTGTGTGTTGGTATTTCCATGGGTTACTGAGATGCACAAAGACTTAACCAAAAAGTGAAGAGCAGCATTGTTTTTAATGAATTTTAGTCCAGAATAGAGAGGAAAGTACTAGCTGTTACCCAGCTTGTTAGTACAAGTATAAACAATGGCTTTTTGTTCCCCATTGACGCAAGTTACAGACTCTCCAATGGACAGGATAAGACACTTGAATCTAGTTTTGAAAAACCAGCCTGAAACTAGCAGTACTGCTGGCATGTAAAAAGCTTTCCCGTACTCTTTGCCCCACACCCACTCCCATCTAGCAATCAAGTTCTGAGACTTTCTTGATCAAGAGATTTTGTGAGAAAATTTCTTTCGAGACTTTTAGTCATTCTTCTTGATTTTGCTGCTGACGTCCTTGACCTCCGCTGCTGGATGAGGGAGTCGGCACAGTTCTTCAGGAGTTCTTCTGAGGCACTTTGATCGTGACCTGTAAGAAGAGTACAGAGCAGCTGTTCAGTCTTCATGCTTCCCTGCGATCTGTGGGCACTCTCAGCTGGCGTGCTGCCTGAGGACGAGCACAGCGGCTTCCTTTACTTCTGATAGCTTGACAGACAACTGGCCAATCCCAGGGACATCGCCAGGACCCTGTTCTGCATGAGAACACTCTCTGCCTCCCCTTAACCCAGTCATTTTTTGATTGTCAGCGGGCAGAAGAGGGGAGGATCACTACGGCATCTAGTAGGTAGAAGTCAGGAATGCTGCTCGTGGAATGTCCCACAGTGCACAGAACAAACCCCAAAACAAGAATTACACAACTCCAAATGTCAATAGTGCTGAGCTTGAGTGACCCTGACCTACCTCTGTACCTTCCTCCAAAACAATTAAAGGGAAAAAAATAACATGCTGATAGTTCATGGATGTCTCAGTGTGTTATGGTGGGAAGATTCCAGACTCAGGTGCAATTGGGGTTAAATCTTTCCTCCAAAACAATCAAAGGAAAAAAAAAATAACATGCTGATAGTTCGTGGATGTCTCAGTGTGTTAAGGTGGGAAGATTCCAGACTCAGGTGCAATTGGGGTTAAATCCCTGTTTTACCCCCCATGGGGCAAGGGCTTCACTTCTGTGTGCCTCGCTTCCTCATCTGTATGATGGGGTAATGACAGAATCTCCTTCCTGAGCCTGTTGTGAGCACTGACCCAGATGACCTGCATAAGGAAGTCTAGCAGATTCTGGACAAAGTAAGCTCTCTGTAAGGATGACTTCCAAAGAAGACATCTTCTCAATAGTGCCCCTTGCAAACTGGATTTCTCTTCTGAACAGTTTTTAATCCTATTTTTTAAAAGATTTTATTTATTTATTTGACAGAGACACAGGGAGAGAGGGAACACAAGCAGGGGCAGAGGGAGAGCGAGAAGCAGACTTCCCGCCGAGCATGGAGCCTGAGGCAGGGCTCAATCCTAGGACCCTGGAATCATAACCTGAGATGAAGGCAGACGCTTAACAACTGAGCCACCCAGGCGCCCCTTTAATCATATTTTTGTCAGGATTATCACTCAAGTTCCCCAAACTCAAAATACAGGAATCTTTAGTATCACGCGCACAAAGCACAGTGCCTGGCACGGAGCTGAAGCAGCTGTGCCTCCTTTGCCTGCAGCCCCCACCCTCCAGCCATCAAGTCCTGCCACTTCTTTTCTTCAAAAAGCTTCTTTCCATTCTCCAACACCCCAGTGCCCGAGCCCTCCAGCATCAGCAACTTACACCTGGATTCCTGCACAAACCACCTCAACTCAAGCCTCTTTTCGGGCTCTCCCTCCCACTGCCCTCCAAGCAATCCTGCTGCTGTGACTCCTGGGGCTCAATCCTAGCACCGCCCCCCTACACCGGGCCTAAATAATCTTTTTTTTTTTTTTTTAAAGATTTTTATTTATTTATTTGACAGACAGAGATCACAAGTAGACAGAGAGGCAGGCAGAGAGAGAGAGGGAAGCAGGCTCCCTGCTGAGCAGAGAGCCCGATGCGGGACTCGATCCCAGGACCCCGAGATCATGACCTGAGCCGAAGGCAGCGGCTTAACCCACTGAGCCACCCAGGCGCCCCACCGGGCCTAAATAATCTTATCACTGTTTTGATGAACAGTTACAAGCCAGTGAATGTCATGATCAAATCTGGGTCTTGCCTCTTGTATGGGACAATTTTATTTATTTTTTAAAAAGGATTTTATTTATCTGAGAGAGAGAGAGAGAGAGAGAGAGTGCGAGCACATGAGCAGGGGCAGAGGGAGAGGGAGAAACGGACTCGCCTGCTGAGCAGGGAGCCGGACATAGGGCTTGATCCATCCTGGGACCATGACCCAAGCTGAAGGCAGAGGCTTAACCAACTGAGCCACCCAGGCGCCCCTGGACAGTTTTAAATAAACAGGCAAACAGGTTTATGTTAATCCAACGAGCTTCTTGAGAACACAGGTTGTGGCTTACCAGATGACCGAGTGAAGTGCCCATCTGCCCTTCTCACCCTGCTCCTCCTGGCTGGGTTGCATGCCCTGAGCCTTCTCTTTCCCAATCCTGGGAAAGTCCAGCTCTGCCGTTACTCTTTGCTTTAAATATGCTTGTGTTTATTGCCTGGTTAAACTGTAATTAGTGTCCCTTGTAGGAAAAACCATTTTCGCTTTGGTGCCTTTCTTTGCTATCTTCTCCATAATTTTAAATAAAGGTACCTAAGTATGTATGTATGTATATATAGCCTTTACATTGGGCTTACACTACACGTATGGCTTTGTATCCTATCTTTTCACTTTAAAGGATGATTTTCCATGTCAAATATCCTACAAAAGTATTTTTAAAGGATTTATTTATTTATTTATTTATTTGGGAGGAGGAGAGAGCCGAGCCGGCCCACATGGGGGACGGGGCGGGGTAGAGGGAGAGAGAGAGAACCCTCAAGCCGACTCTGCACTGAGCACGCAGCCCAACGTGGGGCTAGATCTCACGGCCCTGAGATCATGACCTAAGCCGAAACCAAGAGTCAGATGCCCAGCCAACAGTGCCACCCCAGTTACCCCCTACAGAAAAGATTTTTAATGGCTACCTAGTAAACCATGATTTGGGTGTTCCATAATTTATTGGGCATTTATGTTACATTTGACTTTTCCATATTTGAGAGACCATGCTGTGATGAACAGTTATGGAATATCACTTTCTTTGTACTTCTGATTCATCCTTCAGGCTATATTCCTATCACTGACATTATGAAATCAAAGGATATTGGTATATTTATGGCCCTTGGTCTCTAACACCTCACAGCTTGATTTTTTTTTTAAAGATTTATTTATTTATTTGACAGACAGACATCACAAGTAGACAGAGAGGCAGGCAGAGAGAGGAGGAAACAGGCTCCCTGCTGAGCTGAGAGCCCGATGTGGGGCTTGATCCCAGGACCCTGGATCATGACCGAGCTGAAGGCAGAGGCTTTAACCCACTGAGCCACCCAGGTGCCCCTCACAGCTTGATTCTTATTAGAAGCTTTTCCCTTACTGCTTTGGCCCACTGGGATCTGTCCTTCCTCTCAAGTCTTATAGAACTTGGTGCGTAACAGCCTAGCAAAGGAGTGTGTAGGTGTAGTGATGGCCAGGTGCCAAGTATTTCTCATGAGACAGAGCAGAGACTGGGTCCTCACCCTTTTCTGTGGCTTAAAACAAGAGATAAGTAATAAGTGCTGATGGGAGTCGAGCACCAGAGAGAGCTGAGAAGGCGCCCATACTCACCGTTTTCACTTCGGTGTACGCCTGCAGCCCGTACTCGCCCAGCTCCCGGCCGCTCCCAGACATCTTGTAGCCACCGAACGGGGACTGGGCCCCAAACACATCATAGCAGTTGACCCTGTAATTTGAAAAAAGATTTCAAAAGTAACTTATAGGAGATAGGGTGTCATACCCCTCCGACCTCCTGAATGGCTCTAAAATATTACTGAGGAAAAATAGATGGGTCGATCTATAGTTATAACCAGCCACGTAGGAGCCAAAAGCAAACCACATGAAAAAAAGCTGTTAAGTCATCACCCCTCAAGATGTGGTCACAGATGAATGTTAGTAACATGGTGCACCACATCAGAGCTTCCTGTTTGCATGAATCGTTTGTGCTAACCGGGTACTTTTTTTTTTTTTTTTGCCATTTTAAAAAATTACTAAATTAAAAAAAAATTTTTACTTAAGAGCACTAGAGCACAAAGGGAGAGTGAGAGGGTGAAGGAGACTCCCTGTTGAGCAGAGAGCCTGATGTGGGATTTGATCATAGGTCCCTGAGATCATGACCTGAGCTGAAGGCAGACACTCAACCCACTGAGCCACCTAGGCGCCCTTAAAAATTATTAAACTTTAATTGAATTTGAAATTCACCACTTTCAGGTGCACAGTTGAATGGATATAGCAGACTCAGTGTGGTGCAATCATCACTTCCATCTAATTCCAGAACATTTCTATCACCCCACAAAGAACTCTACCCAATAAGCAGTTATTCCCCACTCCCCTCCTCTCCTAGCCCCTGGAAGCCTCTGATCTACTTTCTGTCTTTATGGATTTATCTATTCTGGAAATTTCATATAAATGGAATCACACAGCACGTAGCCTTTTGTGTCTGGCTTCTTTCACTTAGTATCATGCTTTCAAGGTTCATCTGTGTTTGTAGAATGTATCAGCACTTTATTCCTTTTTATGGCTGAATGATATTCCAGTGACAGACCACATTTTGTTTATCCTTTCATCAACTGATGGACATTTAGGTCATCTCCACCTTTTGGATATTATCAATAACCTGGTATGAACATTCAGGTATACTTTTTTGTGTAGATAGATGTACGTTTTTATTTCTCTTGGGTATATATACCTAGCAGTAGAATTGCTGGGTCCTATGGTAATTCTACATTTAACTTGCTGAGGAGCTGCCAGACTGTTACCCCTGATGGCTCCAACATTTTACATTCCCACCAGCAACATGTAAGGGTTCAAATTTCTCCACATCCCTCATCAATACCTGGTATTTTGTTTCGTTTTGTTTTTATTTTTTAAAAATTTATTTATCTATTTATTTGACAGAGAGAGAGAGATCACAAGTAGGCAGAGAGCCAGGCAGAAAGAGAGGAAGGGAAGCAGGCTCCCTGCTGAGCAGAGAGCCCGATATGGGGCTCCATCTCAGGACCCTGATATCATGACCTGAGCTGAAGGCAGAGGCTTAACCCACTGAGCCACCCAGGTGCCCCTTGTTTTAAAATTACAGCCATCCTGGGTGTGTGAAGTAGGTGCTAAGCTCCTAAGACCAGTATTACACATAGCTGTAGACCCTTAGCTCTGGTCTCCTGCCCTTGTTCACTTGATAAGGAGCCCCCATCCCAGTCATCCATATTTTTGCCCGAGAACAAAGCTGCATGGCCATATGTACTGGAGGGAAGTTTAATCTCCTACAGGAGAGGGGATGGGAAATCTCTGTCTGCTATACCACGCCCTGGCCCAGGAGGAACTGAGACCACAGCCCAAATTTTGGGGTGTGAACACCAGATTCCAGAAGACCCTGGCTTGGGGATCCCTGCCTAGATTGTCAGGGGTTGCCAGAAGGCTCTTACCACACAGTGCCTGCCTGGAGGGCTTGGGACAGATAATTGGCCTTGTCCAAGTCCTTGGTGAAGACAGCTGCAGCCAATCCATACTTGGAATTGTTGGCTCTCCCAATGACTTCCTCTATGGTCTTGAACTTCAGGATCTGCATCACTGGCCCAAAGATCTGCAGTAAGAGAGTACACAGTTGGGAGGGTGTAGCAGCCACGGAAACCACCTGCCATCTAGCTTTCACAGTGCTGAGCAGATCATTCCAGACATAGCCTAAGAGTTCCACAGGAAGACAGCAGCTCCTGAGCTCAATGAAACACAAAGGGAAGGAAGCTAATGGAGATCGATTACATTCTATATGCTAGGTATTTACATAGCTGGTCTTATTTCTGAACAACCCTGCAAGGTAAGGACTTCTGGCATGTTGTTACACATAGATTTAGTTTCAGAGAATTTACACCAGTTTTTCAGCAAGGCACACACTAAAAGCTGAAGTAACTGTGTAAGAAAAAGGGTCTCTGCTCTCAAGACATCCAGGTTTATTTTGTATTTTCTCTGCCCTATTCCTGGCATGAGCTATTTCTTCAAGGAATCCTGTTCTTTTTAGTGGAGAATGAGATTCAAAAGCGAAGTCACAGGGGCCAGATGTGTGGGCTGCTGTGGGGGTGTGGGAATGCAGTGTGGGTGGTTCTAATGTAGTCAGGGCCTTAAAAGGAACCGTTACAAGCAGTGTAATGAGTGCTGAGAGCTCCTGGATGGGCCAAGTGGAGAGCAAGGGTGAGGCTTTGACAAAGTGACAACCAACCGGTGACACTGGCCAAACCAGAGTCCAGGTGGGGAGCAGGGAGGAGGGAAACAGAGTTCCAAGCATAAACACACCCAGCACCCATCCTCAGGAAATCCCACTTGTCACTAAAAGGAGATAGGACTTCTTGAAGAAATGGCTGATTACAGGACTGCCTGGGGAGTGTCGAGGCAAGAGGTGGAAGAAGAGTGCCAGGAGCTCATCATGGTTGGAGCAGGACTGTGGGATGGGGCGTCATGTGCTTCAGGCACTGGCCAAGCAGAAGCACCCCCCATCCTTCTGGAGAAGTGGTATTTGAGATTTCAGAAAAAGCCTCAAATCGTCATGATGGGGAAAGAGGCAGAACTCTCTTGGACTACCATCCCCTGATTTTGCATTTTCGTGTTATTTTATTTTGAAGTATACATGAAGAGGAAATGCTGTCCCTGTATACATGAAGGGGAGCGCGTGTGGACCCTAGAAGGGCAGGGAACACGTCTTGGATACCTCTGGGTCTCCAGTGTCTGTTGAGAGCCTGGCACATAGCAGGCACTGAGTATTTGTAAAATGAATGAATGAGTGAGCCAGAGCTGCTCTCCTATGTTCATAATGAGTGCTGAGGGGAAGAACATCGGGAACCTTGCCACGTGGAAAAATCACAGCCCTTTGGTCAAGTCCAATGTCCTGCTTATATAAAGAGCATAAAGGGCTGAGCAAAACCACTCCTTGACCCATGGCTTGCAGGGACCACAACACAAAGGGCCTGGAAATTGTACAAGGGAATTTAGAAGTTTCCCCCAACAGTGGGTAGCCATAAAGGGTGGAAGAGGGGGACAAGATCAGATAGAATTGTAAATAATCTGTCTTAGAGAGCCAGGATTTGGCCCAAAGCCAGAGGATGGGTCGTGGTACAAAGACACCAGACGTAACTGTCTACTTCTCCTAAGAACATTCCCCGGAGTGCTGGCCCCACGCTAACCTCCTCCCTGGCGATGGTCATGCTGTCTTGCACGTCTCCGAACACGGTGGGCTGAATGAAGTAGCCACGGTCAGCAGCCGCCCCTCCACCACACAGCAGCTTCGCCCCCTCCTCCTTCCCAGATTTGATATAACCAAGGATCTTCTTAAACTGAGTTTCGTCCACCTGTGGCAAAAAGAGTCCAAAGTTTCAGGGATGGCTGGAGCCAGACCTCTCCTAGCTTTAGGCTTAGAACTACACAGGCAATGAATGACACAACTGAGCGGCCACAGAGGCTTAGGAATAAGCAAGGCTCAGAAGAGGAACTCCGAGGGGCCAATAAATGTTAAGAAAACGGTCAACCAATCTCCTTAGCCCTCAAAGAAATGCATATCAAACCCACTGTTTTTATTTTCCAACTATGAATAATTAAGAATTTAAAACGGTGAAAAAAATAAAAATAAAAGATAAATAAAATAGTGAAAAAATAAATGTGCTTGCTTCCGCAGCACTAAAAGTGCAAGCATACGGAGATTAGCACGGCCCCTGCCCAAGGACAGCAGATTCGTGAAACATTCCAGATCAAAAACAATACAAAGAAAAAGAAGAAAATACATTGATGGCAACGTTTCTTGTGCCGTCTTCCATCCTCGCCAAGAGCTGATCCTCAGCAATTCGGAGGACAAGAGTATCCGAGTCTGGGATATGTCCAAGCGGACTGGGGTTCAGACCTTCCGTAGAGACCATGATCGTTTCTGGGTCCTAGCTGCCCACCCCAATCTGAACCTCTTTGCAGCAGGCCATGACGGTGGCATGATTGTGTTTAAACTGGAGCGGGAACGGCCAGCCTATGCCGTTCATGGCAATATGCTACATTATGTCAAGGACCGATTCTTGCGTCAGTTGGATTTCAACAGCTCCAAAGACGTAGCCGTGATGCAGTTGCGGAGTGGTTCCAAGTTTCCGGTGTTCAACATGTCATACAATCCAGCAGAAAATGCAGTCCTACTGTGTACGAGGGCCAGCAATTTAGAGAACAGTACCTACGACCTGTACACCATCCCCAAGGATGCGGACTCCCAGAATCCCGACGCTCCAGAAGGGAAACGATCCTCAGGCCTGACAGCCGTTTGGGTTGCTAGAAATCGGTTTGCTGTCCTAGATCGGATGCATTCGCTTCTGATCAAGAATCTGAAGAATGAGATCACCAAAAAGGTACAGGTGCCCAACTGCGATGAGATCTTCTATGCCGGCACAGGCAACCTCCTGCTTCGAGATGCCGAATCCATCACGCTCTTTGACGTTCAGCAGAAGCGGACTCTGGCCTCGGTGAAGATTTCTAAGGTGAAATATGTTATCTGGTCAGCAGACATGTCCCACGTAGCGCTACTGGCCAAACATGCCATTGTCATCTGTAACCGCAAACTGGAGGCTCTGTGTAACATTCATGAGAACATTCGCGTCAAGAGTGGGGCCTGGGATGAGAGTGGGGTCTTTATCTATACCACAAGCAACCACATCAAATATGCCGTCACCACTGGGGACTATGGGATCATCCGGACTCTGGATTTACCCATCTACGTCACGCGGGTGAAGGGCAACAACGTGTATTGCCTGGACCGGGAGTGTCGTCCGCGGGTGCTCACCATTGATCCCACGGAGTTCAAGTTCAAACTGGCTTTGATCAACAGAAAATACGACGAGGTGCTGCACATGGTAAGGAATGCCAAGCTAGTCGGCCAGTCCATCATCGCTTACCTCCAGAAGAAGGGCTACCCGGAAGTGGCTCTGCATTTCGTCAAGGACGAGAAGACTCGCTTTAGTCTGGCACTTGAGTGTGGAAACATTGAGATTGCTCTGGAAGCAGCCAAAGCGCTGGATGACAAGAACTGCTGGGAGAAGCTAGGAGAAGTGGCTTTGCTACAAGGGAACCACCAGATTGTGGAAATGTGTTATCAGCGCACCAAAAACTTCGACAGACTTACTTTCTTGTACCTTATCACTGGCAACCTAGAGAAGCTTCGCAAGATGATGAAGATTGCTGAGATCCGAAAGGACATGAGTGGCCATTATCAGAATGCCCTCTACCTGGGCGACGTGTCTGAGCGGGTCCGGATCCTGAAGAACTGCGGGCAGAAGTCACTGGCCTACCTCACAGCTGCTACTCATGGCTTAGATGAAGAGGCTGAGAGCCTGAAGGAGACATTTGACCCAGAGAAGGAGACCATCCCGGATGTTGACCCTAATGCCAAGCTGCTGCAGCCCCCGGCGCCCATCATGCCGTTGGACACCAACTGGCCCTTGCTGACTGTGTCCAAAGGCTTCTTTGAAGGCTCCATTGCCAGCAAGGGCAAGGGGGGCGCGTTGGCCGCCGACATTGACATCGACACTGTTGGCACCGAGGGCTGGGGAGAGGATGCGGAGCTGCAGCTGGACGAAGACGGGTTTGTGGAGGCTGCAGAAGGTCTGGGGGACGATGGTCTTGGCAAGGGACAGGAAGAAGGAGGCGGCTGGGATGTCGAAGAGGACCTGGAGCTCCCTCCTGAGCTGGATATAGCCCCTGGAGCCGCTGGGGGCGCCGAGGACGGGTTCTTTGTGCCCCCCACCAAGGGAACCAGCCCGACTCAGATCTGGTGCAATAACTCTCAGCTTCCAGCCGATCACATCCTGGCGGGCTCTTTTGAAACAGCCATGCGGCTTCTTCACGACCAAGTGGGGGTCACCCAGTTTGGCCCTTACAAGCAGCTGTTCCTACAGACCTTTGCCCGCGGCCGTACCACCTACCAGGCCCTGCCCTGCCTGCCCTCCATGTATGGCTATCCTAATCGCAACTGGAAGGATGCAGGGCTGAGGAACGGTGTGCCGGCCGTGGGCCTGAAGCTGAATGACCTCATCCAGCGGCTGCAGCTCTGCTACCAGCTCACCACAGTGGGCAAGTTTGAGGAGGCTGTGGAGAAGTTCCGCTCCATTTTGCTCAGCGTGCCTCTTCTCGTGGTGGACAACAAACAGGAGATTGCGGAGGCCCAGCAGCTCATCACCATCTGCCGTGAGTACATCGTGGGTCTGTCCATGGAGATAGAGAGGAAGAAGCTGCCCAAAGAGACTCTGGAGCAGCAGAAGCGCATCTGCGAGATGGCCGCCTACTTCACCCACTCGAACCTGCAGCCGGTGCACATGATCCTGGTGCTGCGGACGGCCCTCAACCTCTTCTTCAAGCTCAAGAACTTTAAGACAGCCGCCGCCTTTGCTCGGCGCCTCTTAGAACTTGGGCCCAAGCCGGAGGTGGCTCAGCAGACCCGCAAAATTCTGTCTGCCTGTGAGAAGAACCCCACAGATGCCTACCAGCTCAATTACGACATGCACAACCCTTTTGACATCTGTGCTGCATCCTATCGGCCCATCTACCGTGGAAAGCCAGTGGAGAAGTGTCCGCTCAGCGGGGCCTGCTATTTCCCGGAGTTCAAGGGTCAAATCTGCAAGGTCACTACAGTGACAGAGGTCGGCAAAGACGTCATTGGTTTAAGGATCAGTCCTCTGCAGTTCCGCTAAGGCCCCCTTTGGTGTGTGCAGGTCAATCACCCTATTTTCCTTCGGAGAATTAGTCTCTGTCCTTCCAGCTCCTCCTTCGTCAACTACCCTTCAGATCATTGACATTTAGCTCTCCTGCCCTAAGACCTAGTGTCCCTTTCTCTTCTTCTGTGGCTAATCAAAATGTCTACACTTGACTATTTGTCCTCTCCTCAAGGGTGACTACAGTTGTGGTCGCTGTTGGCCTTGCCTTCCCAGCTTCGATCGTTCAAGGAACAAATGAAAACTTGGTGGCACACATTTGCTTACCGAATTCCTTTACTACTTATCCTTTCCCTCCCCACTGTCTTTTTATTTTCTTTGGGAAAGAAGCAGGATGTAATAAATGAGATCAGCCACAGCAAACCATACCATATACACCTGCCGCGGTCATTACAACAACGCTCTCAGAAGGACTAACACAATGTCGTATGTCAGTTGCATCTCAGCTTAAAAAAAGGCCTATAAAGTGGTACAGCCCTTTTGGCAGGTACTTTATTAATACTGGTCAAAAAATTAAATACTCAGGGCGCCTGGATGGCTCAGTGGGTTAAGCCTCTGCCTTCAGCTCAGGTCATGATCTCAGGGTCCTGGGATCAAGCCCCACACTGGGCTCTCTGCTCAGCAGGGAGCCTGCTTCCTCCTCTCTCTCTGCCTGCCTCTCTGCCTACCTGTGATCTCTGTCTGTCAAATAAATAAATAAAATTTTTTAAAAAAGAAAAAAAAAGAAATACTCATTCCCTTTGACCCAGCTATTTAACTTAGGAATTTATTCTACATTGTCACAAAGGGACCTAAACAAGGATATTCACTGAGGAAGGAGCACTTTATAAAAGTAAGAAACAGAAACAGTTCTAAGTATATGTCAGTAGAGGGACTGGCTAAAATAATTACTGTATGTGTATGTAATAAATATTGTGTCCTTGGTAATAATAGATCTGTGTGAGGCAGCTGGCTGGCTCAATTGGTAGAGCATGGGGGACCCTTGATCTCAGGGTCATGAGTTCAAGCCTCCCACTGGGCATGGAGCCCAGTTAAAAAAAAAACAACACTGATCTGTGTACTGACACAGAAAGATACCCTAAGGTATTCTGTAAAGATGAGGGAAGCTTGTAGAATGTTATATAATCCTGTTTTTTGTTCAAACAAATATACAGAAACAGAATTCTGTGTGTTTGTGCACCTGCGCGCATGTGTGGTTATCTATGGGGAACAGACATAGAAGGGAGCCAAGGAGGTTTTATTTTTTCCTTTAAACACTTTTTATCAAAAATTTTATACAACTTTGTATTACCTTACTAATTAAATAGCCATAAACTACAAAGAAAAACAGGAGAGGGGAAAAAAGGTGTTAGGATTCATAGTAGCACTATTCACAATGGCCAGAACGTGGAAAGAACCCAACTATCCATCAGCAGGTTAAGTAGGTAAGGAAAATGTGGTATGTCCATGCAATGGCAGACTCCTCAGCCATAAAAAGGAATCAGCTATCAAGTCACCAAAAAATATGAAGGAAATGTACATGCACATTGTTAACTGAAAGAAGCCAATCTGTGAAGGCTACATAGTGTATGATTCCAGCTATAGGATATTCTGGAAAAGGCAAAACTATGCAGACAGTAAACAGATCAGTGGTTGCCTAGCATTGGGGTAGGGGAGGTTTGAATGGGTAGAGCACAGGCGATTCTGTATGCTACTGCAGTGGTGGGTTCGTGTCTTCATATGTTTGTCCACACCCAGAGAAAGCAACACCAAGAGTGAGCCCTGAAGTAAACTATGGACTTCAGTTTATAATAATGCAACACATTGGCTCATCAGTTGTAACAAATGTACCATACTAATGCAAGATGTCAGCAGTCGGGGAAACTGAAGGGGAGGGGTGGGGAGTGAAGGGAACTTCATACTTTCTGCTCATTTTTTTATAAACCTAAACTGCTCTAAAAAGTAAGTCTATTAATTAGAGATGCCTGGGTGGCTCCCTCAGTTGAGTGTCTGCCTTCAGCTTGGATCATGATCCTGGGGTCCTAGGATCATGTCCTACATCAGGCTCCTTGCTCAGTGGGGAGCCTGCGTCTGCCTCTGCCTGCCTCTCTCCCCGGCGCTGACAAAAAAAAAAAAAAAAAAAAAAAAAAGACTGGTCTTGACCAGCCCTGGAGCCTGGGGAGAGGATGGACACTAGCAGCAGACACCCTCAGGAGGATGGAGCCTGTACAGAGGCACCCGTGAGCCCCAGAAGTGGGTGTAGGGACCAGTGGGAGCTGGGAGTGCCCCTGACCCTTGGATTCCTTGCTTCTTGAGGAGGTAACGGGGGAAGGCCAGCACAGAGAGCCCAGGACAGGCGGGGTCTAAGAGCAATGCTGGAGTAAGGCTCAGGACGTGAGGAAATGGACAGAGACACTGTATTTCTTGTTGTAATTACTATTGACTGTAGTTTTGATTAAAATGAGTATGTCCTCATGGTAAAAATATATATATATATATTTGATATATGTAAAAATATAAATATATATATATACATATATATAATTTTTTTTAATTCAAACATTTCAGAATAGTATAATGTCAAGTCCCAAAAATATAAATATATATATACATATATATAATTTTTTTTTTAATTCAAACATTTCAGAATAGTATAATGTCAAGTCCCTCTGCTACCCAGGCCATGGCTCTCTGGCCCACTCCCCAAAGATAACCACAGTTAACAGATACACGTGTGTCCTTCAGGAAGATGCATTTTTTTTTTCTAAAGATATTATTTATTTATTTGACAGGGAGAGATACAGCAAGAGAGGGAACACAAGCAGGGGGAGTGGGAGAGGGAGAAGCAGGCTTCCCGCCAAGTGGGGAGCCTGATGTGGGGCTCGATCCCAGGATACTAGGATCGTAACCTGAGCCGAAGGCAGACGCTTAACAACTGAGCCAAGCAGGCGCTCCATGGAAGATGCATTTTTATGGATGGCCAAAGTCCAGGAAGCATGCATTCCTTTTTACACAGATACTCCTGATATTTATTATGTGTATGAAATTTATAAGTTGGTTTCTATTATTGATTTCCACTTTAAAGCCAGCCTGTGAATTCCAGAAAGGTGATTATTACAGATGAGAGAACGGTGGCTCAGAGAGGGCATGTGGCTTCCCAGGGACACACAGCTGGCACGTGGCGTAGCTGAGACTTGAAGCCAAGCCTCCCTGCCTTTGAGTCTGAGACCCCTTCTGCTCTTCCATGCTGGCTTTGGACACCCAGACCCATCTGCAGCAGCTGGGCTTACCTGCGGCCCTTGCTCAGTCTGGCTGTCAAAGGGGTTCCCAACTACACGAGACTTGGCCCGGGCAACGCTCCGCTCCACAAACTCGGCGTACACATCTTCTTGCACAAAGGTCCGGGAGCCTGCACAGCAGCACTGGCCCTGGTTGAAGAACAGGGCGAAGTGGGCCTGCTCTACGGCCCAGTTCACTGGGGAGGCAAAAAAGCAACCATGAGAAGAAACTGAGGATGAGCCTGGCCCCAGGGTCTGCTTACCCTCTTAGCCCGTTCATGCCACCAACAGCACTGACCAGGACAGACCTGATTTCTCCTTTCCTGGGGTATGGACACCCAGTGAACAGACACAAGAGAGAGGAGGTCACAGCCCTCTGTGGTAACAGGCATGAGGGTGGTGGCAGGACCCACCCAGCCGGCCCACAGCAGGCAGGGAAGAGCAAATCAGGGGGCGCCCCGGCAGGACCGGGAAATGGGCGAAGAAGGAGGCGGCGCACTCTGCTCCAAGAGAAAGCACGCGGTATGGCTGGGCGACTGAGCACCGCAGCCCAGCAGCAGTGGGCAGCAAAGAGGAGAGAAGCTGGGGAGGGACTGGGTCATGCAGGCTGGAGGGCCATGCTGCGGACTCTGACCTCCCTCCTCAGGCCTAAGGGGCAGACACTGAGTCCAGTGGTTGCCGAAGCTCAGTAAAGTGGGAGGAGTCACAGTATGGACAGCTCGTGGCTGCCTTTGTCCCACACCTCCTCCCTGAAAAAACCTTACTGTCTGCATCTGACATGATGATGTTGGGGCTCTTTCCCCCCAGCTCCAGGGTCACTCTCTTGAGGTTACTGCTCCCTGCAGCAACCTGGACTAGGTGGCCAACCTGCAGGGAAGCAGAAATACAGAAAAGCTCTCAGGAGGAAAGAAGAACCAAATGCTCTTCTAGACGCAAAATGAGGGAGCGGCTGGACTACAAGAGACCCGGAGAATTTCACCCAGTCTAGCTATTCATGTACCACTGCTGCTCCACCCCTCTGAGCTCCCAGGACAAGAGTGGCCAGAAACCGTGGGAGCAATATGACTTCTCTATACCGAGCGTGCCTGCATACCAGACACCGTGCCAAGCGCTTCGTGTTCATTTAGTTCAATCCCTGCAATGACCTCAAAGGTAGGCACGACTCTTTGCCTTGCTTCAGAAATGTGGGAGCTGTGGCTCAGAGTGGTGAAGTCATTTGCCCAAAGTCACACAGCTGGTGAATGTGGAATCGGAATTCACACCCGGGCAGTGTGAGTCCATCACCAGGTCAAACCGCTATCCTGCCCCCTTCCCACAGTGTAGTGAGTGTGGTCCCCCAGCCCATGGCACGCTCTGTAGAGGCAATGATGAGGTGCTCCTCACCTCCTTGTTCACAGAGCCTGGCATAAAGCCGCCCTGAACCTATCTGAATGAACAAATCTGTCTGTCAGGAAACCATCCCCTCGGTGAGATTCTCAGCAGCACCTCAAGGCATTCATCTGGGCAGTAGCAAAGCAAGGGAAGAGCTTGGACCATGCTCTCTTGGGCTCTGTCCCTGCCCTCCCAGAGCCGCCGTCACTGCGCATGGACGGAATGCTGGGCTGTATCTATCTCTGGGGGAATGTTCTGAGAGCCCATTCGTTATGGTATTCAGTGTGCCTTCTCTGGAGCCATGTGATGAAGCCTCGCAGAAATTCAAGGACAGGAAAGGCTACTCTTCAGAAGGAATTCCGTCCTTGCTTCGAAGGAGATGATCACCAGACCTCTTACCTATCCCTGTTTCTCCCAGGCCTGGCACAGAGCTGCACGACACTCCTTACTCATTCATTCCCTCCCTGAGCACTTACTCTGAGCTAGAACTTTGCTGATCGCGTCATAAGCTTCATCGCCCTTACTCCAATCCTGTGAGCTGGATGCACTTACCATCCCCGTTTTACAGATGAGACAGAGGCTTCGGGAGCCTGAGTGACCTGCCCAAGATGGCAGAGCCTGTAAGTGCCACTGAAACAGTAAGACTCTGGAGCCCCTGATCTTCCCCACTATACCACACGTATTGTCTCCACTGCCTCCATATTGCCATCCTCATTTTAAAGAGAACAAATGAAGCCCTGAAGGCATTCCGTGAATCACCCCATGTCATAATGGCGAGGCTGGGATTTGAACTCATGTCTTCCCGAAGTCCACGCTCTGTAATTGTCAGGGCAGTGCTGGTCCAGGAGCCTGACACAGCCAAAGGGCTTTGACCCCAGGCAGGAGGTCAGCTCTGGCCTTCATGAGGTGTACATGGCCTCGGCCTCTTTATTCCACGTGGCGTGCTGGCCCCTCAACTCAGCCAGAGTGTCAAGCAACCCGCGGAGGGCTCCACCCCAACAGCCACTACTGGCCACATGGGGCCCTCACTCAGGCTCCTCAGAGGCCATCTTGGGGGATCCTCCACGCAGTACCCAAAGGCAAATTTTCAACGCATCATCCTTGGAGGACAGTGGAAACTTGGGTCAAATATGCCACAAGCTTGAGGTCCTGGTGATGCCTTACCTCGGTGGAGCCCGTGAAGGCCACTTTGTCCACATCCTCATGGGAGGCAATGGCAGCCCCAGCTGTGGGGCCAAATCCAGGAATAATATTGACCACACCAGGGGGAAAGCCGGCCTGTGGGCAAACAGACAGCGACACTGGGCGTCATTCTCCTGCTCCAAAGGGCTTGGACAGAAGAGCACACACCCCTTCCGGAGAGGCTAAAGCAGCCTGCCCAGTACCCAGACAAGCAGTTACCAGTCTGTGGGGCACTGCTCAGGAATTCCAAATGACACAGCAGAAAACCTACTTTTCAGGGTTCCTTGGGGCTGCCACCGCTCCCCAATGGCATTCACCTAGAACAATGTTCATTCTTCAAAAGGGTCTGACAGTGAAACTCAGTGTAGAAAACAGGTAAGGGAGGGCCACTTCGGCTGGCCTATATGAGGTACAGGGGATGGGGGCAGGCTCAGTCCCTGGGCTGTGAACACCTGCCCCACTTTGGGGCCCCCAAAGCCCCTCTAAGAACCCCCAAAGAGCAAGCCTGTACAAGGGCATTCAGAGGTCAAGACTAACACAAACCACACACCTCCTTAATCAAGTTGGCCACATAGAGGGCGGTGAGCGGAGTCTGCTCAGCTACCTTCATCACGACCACGTTTCCAGTTGCCAGGGCTGGACCCAGTTTCCAGGCTTGCATCAGGAGCGGGAAGTTCCACTGCAATAAACAATAACTCCTCTTGGAACCAAAGCTGAGAGCTGCGCTGGCCAGGGCAGGGGGCAGCCCAGGGAGGAGAGGCTGCACCGACTTCTCTGAGCCCCTTGCGCTACCCCCACAACTCGGCTGTGAGTTGAAGACAGATGGACAAGGCAGGAGGATGGGAGCAAGAGCGACTCAAGCTCATTAGAGCTTTTTCTGTACTAGGCTCCATGCTGTGCTGTTGCATTTTATACCCCTCCTGCCCTGAGACAGTGCTGTGTTCCCTTCCACTTTTCAGATAAGAAAACCGAGTCTTAGGGAGATCAGTGATTTACCCAAAGTCAGAGTCCACGCACAGCAGCACCAGTTGGCTTTGTAAAAGCCTGTGTTCTCACCCCCCCCCAGGCCGCCTTCCGACAGCATCCACAGACCCCACCACCTGTACAATCAGCCTGTCCGAGATCGCTGCATCTCAAGGCACTCCTGATAAGCCTTCCTGTGTTTATTAGGAAGAGCCTAACACTCACCGGAATGATCTGCCCACACACCCCGACAGGTTCATGGCGGGTATAGCTGAAGAAGTCCCCATCGATGGGAATGGTTTTCCCGTGGTACTTATCAGCCCAGCCAGCGTAATAACTTAAAAAAAAAAAAAAAAAAAAAAATCCAAGCTTAATCGATGACTGGCAGGGACCCCCGTCAGACACCCTGGCAGGAAGAGAAAACTCGAACAGGCCCAATTAAGTCCTTCTGATCATTGTCCTTGCTCTTGGCTTAATCCAAGAAAGACTTCCTGGGTAACTGCTAGGGTCACAGTAATCCACTCCAGACAACTAACATCTAAGCCTCAGAATCACCTGGGATGCTTGTAAAAAACACCACGTTTCAGGTGCCCACTTCCAACCTACTTAACCTGGAGCTCTGAGGCTGATCCCCAGGAATCAGTATTTTTCATAAACATTCAGATTTATGAAAAACTGTGACTGGTGAACCAGCCCAGCACCACAGATTAGCATTTGAGAACCATGGGTCGGATCTGGGGAAGTGAAAACCTCTCTAACAGCTAGCACTTCCTGTATGCAGACAAGGAAAGACTGAGGGAACGGCCACCAGAAACAAATCTTCAGCTGGCCTCACCCCTCGTAAAGCCTTCTATCTAGACACACGGACGGAGGGGACAGTAAAGCCCAGCACACTGGAGAGAGGGAGAAAAGAGCAGCGTGGGTTTCCGGCACGTAAAAGTGATATTTTCAGGGAAGTGGGAAAAACAAGAGAAGGGGAAAGATGAAATGTGGGGTAAAAGGAAGCGTTCTGAAATGAGCGGGATGGCCACAGGAGTCTGAGCCCCACTCTGACCAGGCTTCGAACACAGGTCTGTGAACCTGGGGAAAAAAACAGCCAGGGAGTTGCCAATCTCTACAAGGTAAAGCAGTACTGCTCCCTTCCTCCCGGTGTGTACGACGTGTGTCTTGTGAGCCCCAGAATGGTTACCTAATCAGCACAAAGGCATATTCCTAAAATTCAGGAGGGCATAGAACTTAGCCCGAGCTTCCCCAGGCTGCTCTCTCTGGGGCATCCTCATAGAGTGTTCTAATCTTGGCACTAAGATCATGTGGGGCTGGAAAATTCTTTGCTATGCTGGCCGTGCTGTGCACTGTAGGCTTTCCAGCAACCTCCCTGGCCTCTATGCACCCTCCCCCCCATGCTGTGATAACCAAAAATGTCTCCAGACACTGCCAGCCATCACCTGGGAGACATGACCAATACCCTGGCTGAGAACCCATTATGTTGTCCAACCCCTACTTTCCCAGCACAGCTTCTTCTCCTCCACCTCTGTCCACAGGGTCACAGGGAAGTACTCATTATTTGCACATTGATCTGTCCACATGGACCACAGCTGGTCAGACTCGAGGCCAGCCAATCAGGGCGGCATCTGGCCTCTGAATCTGGCATTTGGCACTCGGAGAAGGGACTGCAGTGTAGTCGGTAGGATCACACATACAGAAGCAAGCCCAGGTGTGGGCAACCACATTCCAGCATGCACCTGGCCCTGACAGTGGCCAGGGGGTCACTGAGAGAAGATGGGGCAAGAGGGCTGACATAAGCCATAGTGGGGCTCAGCAGCCTTCTGGATTTAAGGCCCCCGACCCTCCGTAGTGCCTGAGTCAGGCCGAGGCTTTGTTACCTGCATCCCTAAAGAAACCAGCAGAGCTCTTTTTCCTCATCCTATATTTCTTGGGCATTAAGATGTCTGATCAAACTAATTCCAAAGCTAGCAAGAAGACTACGGCAGCAGGGGCACCTGGGTGCCCCAGTGGGTTAAGCCTCTGCCTTCGGCCCAGGTCATGATCTCAGGGTCCTGGGATTGAGCCCCGAATCGGGCTCTCTGCTCAGCAGGGAGCCTGCTTCCCACCCCACCCCCTGCCTGCCTCTCAGCCTACTTGTGATCTCTCTCTCTCTGTCAAATAAATAAGTAAAATAAATTAAATAAATAAATAATCTAAAAAAAAAAAAAAAAAGAAGAAGACTACAGCAGAGACAGATGAAATGGAGAACAGGAAAACAACAGAGGAAATCAACAAAACCAAAAGTGAGTTCTCTGTAAACTCACCAGATTGACAAACCCTTCACTAAACTAAGAAAAAAAAAGAAGACACAAACAACTGAAAACCGAAATGAAAGCAGGACATTACCACTACCTTATAGAGATAAAAAGTCTTATAAAGAGAATATATGAACAACTACAGCCAACAAATGAGATAACCTACATGAAATGGACAAATTCCATCTAACATAGAAATTACCGTAACTGCCCTGAGAAGAAAGAGAAAATGCTTACGAGTAAGTTATAACTTTGGTACTGAGGGATTTTCTCCTAAGATGGAGTCTCACAGAACATGTTTCTCCAACTCTTGTGGTCCTGTTAAATTTATCTAATTTCTGGCCCCCGCAAAACCTGCTCCCCTGGGGCACGGCCAGAATAAAGAGCAGGAAGCCTGAGCCCATACCGGATGCATTTGAGGACCATGTCCAGATCCACCAGGTAGGAGTTGACATAGGGCTTGCCGTTATCCAGGGTCTCCAAGGCCTGAGAAAAGAAAACGGTCAGCACGGACGTGCAGGCACAGAACTGAATCACAGCAGTCAGTGGCGACCAGTGCTGAACCTCGGCACAGACCAAGAAGGGCTGATGGGCCACTTTGTGCCACTGAATGCCGTGGCATTTCTGGCCCATCGCCCCTCCCTCTCCAAAGGCAGGAGAGCGAGGGGTGGGGAGAGGAATGGTGCAACCGCTTCTCATGCAGTCACTTCACAGGCAGGTTCTGCTCTAAGCCAAATCCAGGCGCTGGGATAAGAGACAAACAGAGGGGCTGAGTGAGCAAAGCGCCAGTGACTCATGACCTGAAGCCTCAATCGTGAGTGTTAAAGAGTGCTAGAAAGGAGAAACCAGGCTGCCCAGCCCAGTCTGAGAAACCCTCTAGCCTAAACCTGAAGGATATGTAGCAGGTAAGCAAAAGGGAAGGTACAAATGATGACAAAGCGAAAAGCACCCCAAGCAGAGGGAACAGCATGTACAAAGGCCCTGGGGGCTCAAAGAAGCCAGGTAGTCAAGACGCTGAGGGAAGGCTGCTGAGCTGAGCTGTGTGTGTGTGAGGGCCACAGTCCAGCATGAGTTGGGAGATAGAGTCAGATGAGGCAGGGCCTCGTAGACCATGTTGAGGGAACAGGACTTTATCCTAAGGATATACGGGATACCGTGGAAGGCTTCAGAGTGGAGCACCATGGTATAATTTGCCTTCTAGAAGATTCACTCTGGCTGCTATTTGCAGATTGGACTGGGCAGAGGAGAGGGTATTACCACTTCGTTTCTTTAGGCTCTAGCAGCCACCCCACAGAGGGGCTCCAAGGGAGGTGTCCATCCCTGGGGGTCTCAGTGACGGCTCTCCACTGTGGTTCCCCTCCCCATCCCCAGTCTCCTCCTTTTTAGCCATCGTAGGAGACAATGAGAAGTTCCTCTGGTTGGTACAGAGGCATACCCCCAAACGCCCAGCCTATGCCATTCTGACCAGTGACATGTCAGCAAAACAGCCCCTCCTGGCTGGCTGTGGGATGCTCTGAGCCTATTCACCAGGTGGGATGAGAGGGGAGAGGGGTGAGAACTCACTGCTAGGTAGGTCCGGTCCCGCTCAATCAGATCGGCCAGCCGGTTCAGGAGGCGGCCCCTGTCGGATGCATTCATGCGGCGCCAGGGTGAGCCCAGCTGGAAGGCGGCCCGGGCAGCCTTTACTGCCCTGTCCACGTCTTCCTGGAAAACACCCACCGAGGAAACTCAGGCCTTCTCAGCACTGTCTCCAATGACCACCCACCCCGCTGCCAAACACACCTATGGGACTTCAGTCAATGCTTTGTGGAAACCTGACCCAAACAGCCCTTCCCCACCAGGAAGCGCTCTCCTGTGGAGTTTCAGACTCTCCCTTCCAGGACTCACGGAGGGAGTGAGGATCCTGACTGTTAACGTTTCTGTATTTTCACCTCAGAATCCCCCAAAGAGTTCTGGAGGGAAACATTCAGGGCTCTGTGTTCAGAATGTGACCATTTTCCCCCCTTCCTAAGAAAGCAAGCCCAGAGAAAGACATCCCTTCTCCGATAACTGGTAGTCTCCACCAAATGCAGGTTTAACCAGCTTCTCTCTCCTTGGAGAAGCAGTAAAATCAACATAGCTAGCATTTTTCATATAGGGAGATGTGTATCAAGAGGTTGGAAGCATGGTTTCCATTAATATTAAACATATTTACCGTCAGACTACCGTAAAAGTAGACTACCAAGAAAGTACTATATTCACATTTGCTTTTAGCAGAGGAAGCAGGGCTTTATATGTGAATATAGAAAACCGTCTTAAAGCAGAGGGCAAGAGGCCTTCTTAAAATATTTTCAATGCCTTTTTTTTTTTAATGTCTCTTCTTTTTTAAGATTTCTTTATTTTTGAGAGCAAGTGAGCATGAGTCGGGGAGGAGCAGAGTGAGAAAGAGAAAACCCCCCACTGAGCATAGACCCCCGCTGTGGCACTCACTCTCAAAACTCTGAGGGGCACCTGGGTGGCTCAGTCGTTACATGTCTGCCTTCAGCTCAGGTCATGATCCCAGGATCCTGGGATCTAGCCCCACATCGGGCTTCCTGCTTGGCGGAAAGCCTGCTTCTCCCTCTCTCACTACCTCTGCTTTTGTTCCCTCTCTCGCTGCCTCTCTCTGTCAAATAAATAAATAAAATCTTTTTTTTTAATTAATTTATTTATTTATTTGAAAGAGAGGCAGTGAGAGAGAGCATGAGCGAGGAGAAGGTCAGAGGGAGAAGCGGACTCCCCGTGGAGCTGGGAACCCCATGCGGGACTCAATCCCGGGACTCCGGGATCATGACCTGAGCCTAAAGCAGTCGTCCAACCAACTGAGCCACCCAGGCGTCCCAATAAATAAAATCTTAAAAAACAAAAACAAAAGCAAAAAACCTCACAACCCTGAGATCATGACCTGAGCCAAAACCGAGAGTCAGATGCTCAACTGACTGAGCCACCCAGGCACCTCTCAATGTTTTTTTGAAAGAAAGTAAGGAAGGAAGATAGATTTTTACTGAAAGTCTAATTTTTAAGTTGTAAAATTATTACTACTATTTTTTATTCCAAGTATATATAATTCCAACAAAATACACTACCAACACTAGACTAGATCTCAGGAGACCCCAATTCTAGTCTACAAGATGCCTCTATCTAAATGTGTACCTCCCTTCTCTGACCTTCAACTTTCAGGTCTAGAAAAGAGAGACTGGATTAGATGTTCCCAAATTTAGTTCCAAGTCTACAATTCTGCTGCTGTGTGAATTATTGAACCCGGGTATAATCTAGCACCTTTGTCTGAAGGAAGAGTTTCTGTTGATTCATTTACTCAAAAGATATCCATTGGGATTTTTGAGTTATGAAAATAATACACTCCTGGTAAAGTTTCAACCCCATAAAAACATATAAAGTAAACAATGAAATCATCCTTGCCTGCTCCCGGCCCAAGGTAGGTCACTTACCTTGTCTCCTTCAGCTACCTGACATATGACTTCTCCGGTGGATGGATTGACGGTGGGGAATGTCTTCTTGCTTACAGCATCATGCCACTCATTGTTTATGAAGATCTACGAGAAGGAAGAAAGTTCTCAGGACCGGCTCTCAACCCAACACTGACAACCAGCGATGTGGGAGGAAAAAAACAAACCAGAACACATATGAATTAGCCTTAGAGTGATGTGGCAGGAGGTTTATTTTTTTTTTTTTTTTTTTTTTTTTTTTTTAAAGATTTTATTTATTTATTTGAAAGACAGAGATCACAAGTAGGCAGAGAGGCAGGCAGAGAGAGGAGGAAGCAGGCTCCCTGCTGAGCAGAGAGCCCGATGCGGGACTCGATCCCAGGACCCTGGGATCGTGACCTGAGCTGAAGGCAGAGGCTTTAACCCACTGAGCCACCCAGGCGCCCCTGTGGCAGGAGGTTTAAAGCCCCAGCCCTGGAGAAAACCAAGTTGGAATGACCCCTCTGCCAAGCAACCTTGGGTAAGTCATTTGCCCTTGGTTTCTTTGACCTGAGAAATGAAAAGAATGTGTCTAGTATATCTGTTGTCCATACTGTTGGACAGTATGGACAACAGTATGGACTCGGTAGCTTAAATGATCCATCCTTCTCTCACAATCGTGTCCACTGATTGAGCTCAGCTGCACAGGGCTTCCCTGGGCTGGCTCATGGGGTTGTAGAGCAAGAGTGCATGGGGCTGGATGTGCACGAGGCGTTCTGCACCACAAACATGTCTGCTTAGGCCTCCTGACTGTATGGCAGACTCGGGTGCGTCAGCCTTCTCCCATGACAGCTGACTTCCCCAGAGAGTGTTCTGAGAGACCCATGCAGAAGCTGAAAGGCTTCCTAAAATCCAGTTTCTGAAGACACACAGCCTCATTCCACCACCAAACTCCACGGGTCATTGTGAGTCACAGGCCCGGTCCAGATCTCAGGGAGGGGAGACACCTGCCACTTACTCCTTGGAAGGAGCAGCCAAGAATTTGGAGCCATCTCTCCTCTAGCACACTATTACACAGGGCTATCATGAGAATGGGGTCAGAATATTCTTTAATGATTCAGTAAACGTGTAGTAAACACCTGCAATGGGCCAGGCACTGTTCTAAGGCTGAGGACACAGTGGAAACCAAACCCAATAAGGACCTTTCTCTCTCATGGAGCTGGTGATCTGATGGGTACAGACAGTAGATAAGCAAGTAGAGAAGAAATACACAAGACAACCTCAGATTGCAGGGGTAGACACAGAGGAGGAAAACAGAATCCACAAAGAATACTAAAGTGGGGGAAGACAGACAACTTTACATGTGATGGTTGGTAGGGTCTCTGTGACAAGCAGATACTTCACTCAAGCCCTGACTGGTGAAAAGGAGCCAGGCACAGGAAGAGTAGGAGGATAAGCAGTCCAGGCAGCAGGGATAGCAAGTGCAAAGGCCCTGGGGTGGGAATTAAGACTAATGCGTTTGAGAAAAAATGAAAGTGGCCAGAGTTAACTGGCTAACCAAGAAGGAAATGCTAGGAGATGGGATCAGAGAGGAGGGTGGGTCCTGTGAAGCCCTCTGTTCAGCACCTGTCAGCAATCATTGCTGTTGCTGTTGTGAGGTTTAACTTGATTAGTCTGGAGAGGGACTATATGCTGGTTTAATAAGGCCAAAGTCGTGGCGGTGGGGCGGAACAGACTGACAGAAGCCTCTTCATTCAGAGAAAAGGTCCTTATCCAAAGCTGCTTAGTCAAGTGCCAAAATTCACTCTCTGCTTCTAAGAGCCAGGCGATGGCCTCAAGGGAGAACAGGGAAGAACTCTCCCAGCAAGCTGTTCCCCTTCAGGATGGGGAAGCTGGTCCGGGGGTCAGGGACACTTGGTCGTTTTAGCTGGGCTGCACAAACGTCATAGTCAGGGTGAACATCAGTTCAAGGCTACTCCCCCTTCCTTCCTCAAGGGTTCTCCTTGGCCCCACCATCACAACATGGCCTGGCTCTGGCTTAGGACCCTGAGGAGTCATCCCCAGTTACTCTGGGCCAGAGTCTAGGACCACAAACAAGACCAAACCACAAAGCAAAGTCTGAGCTTGGTCAGGGCCAAAGATTTCGGGGCCAGCAGGGCCCAGGGAGGGCTAGCCCGGCTCCATGGTCAAGAGCAGCATCAGGAAGAACACCTGGATAAACCCGGGCTCCTCTGATCCTAGTTGTTTCACACGGGGCAAGGAACTTCACCTCACTCTGTGATAAGAATCATCACAGTACCCCTCATGACGTGGCATGTGAGGGCCCCAGGTATATGTGCAAAGTTCGGGAGGAGCAAGGCTCTGTCAGGGCCCATGGGACCGGGTGGCGCACGAAGGAGCTCATTAGGAAAGGGTCTACCAGAGGTCACTTTCCCAGGCTCAAATTTGGTATTTTGGCACCATCCCCACCCACCATCAGGGCAGAATCCGCAGCTACACACCTACAGTGAAAGGCTCTCGGCATCTAGCAGGAGCACATAGGTAAACATCATCTGGAGTCTCTGGAAGTGTGCAGTGTGGATTCATATTAGCCGGCTGATCGTGAATCTTGAGGGACACAGACACCTTTGTTGCTGGGGCGTGGCAGAAAGAGGTCTGGCTCGGAGCCCAGTGGCCCTGAGTTCCAGTGGGCCCAGCCCTGCGCACGTGCTCCCCTGAGAATCGGCTTCCCCCTACTGGTGAGCTCTTTACCTGGTTCTCCTCCTGCTCCAGCCTCCAGTCAGAGCCCAAGTATGTGCCTTCAAGGAGGTGAGAACTCTTGTTTCCTAATCTCCATCTCCATGGTTTACGTACTGCCCAAGTGCAGGTCTGATTTTGGGGTTTTATTCGTGTAAAAGGCACCAACCTCTAAGCCACACAGACCTGGGTTGGAAGCTCACCTCTACCCCTCACCAGCTGTGGCCAATCCCTGCACTTCCAGATGCTTCACCAGTCCTTGGGGAGAATCTGTCTGGGGCTGATGTGAAGATAGAACAAGGGGTATAAAGCTCCCGAGCCAGGACTCTGCACACAGTGGCTCTTACCACAGCAGTCACTACAAGTACGACAAAACTCTGGACCGTGGCTCTCTCAGGCCAAAGATTTTTTGGAGCAAAAGCCAGGCACATCCGTATACCTCTGCCTGTGTTATTCCCTGTACCACAGCATACGGAATTAGTTTGTCCTGAAAAAGTTTTGTTATTTTGCAAAGATCAGAAGTATAAAGCAAGCAAGTAGGCCAGACAGCCGAACCCCCAGGCCTCACCCCTTCCTCCCTGGGCCAGACCCACACCATTGCCCTGATCTTACACTAGGACTGTGGGAAGATGGGTTTCCCAGCACTATTTGCCTTTCAAAGCCTTGAACTTGCTAGGTCATCTCCATTGTTGAATTTTCAACAATCTACCCTTCTTTCTCGCTGATAAAATAAGCCTGAATGTGCCTGATAGGAACCCAGAATCTTCCTTGTTTTGAGTTCCCATTTCCCTGCTCCTAGAGCCAGCGTTCAGTGGTCTCCCCGACCCACCCTCAGTCAGGGATGGGGAGCAGCATAGGAACTGTTCTCACTCTGAACCTCGGCCAAAGTTCTCCTTCAAGCGAGGAGAGTTTTACTGCATTCACTTAAGTAAACACAACTGCTGGTATCAAGTTAAATGCTTTGTAACCTCTTCGCTGGAAACCCAAAGCTTCACTCCCTAAACAGGCTTAAGTCAGTCACTGTGGGCGGTAGTTTTCCCAGCTCACACTTCCAAACTCAAGTTTCTAGAGGCAGAGCAACATGCAGAGGGCTATCCTAAAGACATCCTAGCAACATCAGGAGCTAACGCTCAGAATCTGGACTGCGGGCAAAACTCCTAGAGCTTTTCCATCGACATGCTGTATTTTCTCCATATTTTAATAAACATGTCTCCCTTCATTTTGGACAAGTTGGACTCACTCATCCACGCAGTCCCATCAGTTTTAACAGAGTGCCATGTCCATGCTGGGCACTGAGTGAAAAAGCAAAGTCCTGGCTCCCTGAGCTCAAGTCCTGAGGAGGAGAGAGGCAATCAGTAAGCAGACCAACAAAGAGAGAGGCACAAACAAATAGGCAACAGTGAGGAACAGGCCAGGGAGTCAGATGACACCCGACAGGGGACCTGAAGGAAGAGCTTGGGGACAGGAGGAACCCAAAGGGCTCCATGGCTGCAGAGTAAGGGTGAGGGGCAGGAGAAGGGGGCGCTGGATCCTACACCTGCTGTGTGCGGGGAGCTGTGCTGGTGCTGGCGTACGCAGGGAACAGGACAGAGGCGGGAGCGTCTGCTCTGAGTGGGATCATCGACTTTCTAATTTCTTCACTTGCTTTTCTCAGTAATGGTTTTTCTTGGACTTTATTCCTCAAGCAGATCACCCCATTATTTTAAGCAACACAACAGTCCTCAGTATGAACACACCACAGTTTACGTTAGCATTTCCCACACGTGGGCTTTCAGGATGAATTTCACTATTCCTGATGGTGCTGCTGTAGCAAACAGCCTTGGACATGCGCCTTTGCAAACCTGGGACCAATGACCCTAAAAAAATTAGAACTGCTGAGTTAGAGGGAAACGAGATCCTTGGGCTGCCTCCAGAAACCTGAGTGGTGTGGTCGGTGCCCAGAAGCTAGGGAACCCAGGGAGGAGGCCTAACCAAGGCGAAGACAGAGTGACATTCCAGTGCCACCCCCAACCCCAAGACACTGGACAGTCGTCATCTGTGCAAGGTCTCCAAGAACAGGTTTGGTGGTGTTCAGCAGCTCCAATGTAACAGACAGGATGCATTTTGGAAGGTTTTAATTTGGGCTTTGATGCATGAAAGAATTGGAGGTCTGTTACCTAGGAAATATATGTCCCTACAGTATGTTCCTTTCCCCAAGGGTGAGGGAGGAAATGGGGCAGACTCTTGCTGGCATTTGCTCTTTCAACAGCAGTTAGATAACTTGTGTCCAATAGAAAATAGATGTTATCTTTCGTATTACAAGATTCTGAGGAGCTAAATTCAAGAAAAACACGGAATGCCACATCGTTCACATTTCTGAAACCTCGGGGTTAGTTTGGTGACAAGGCCAAGGG